TACAAGATACCTTTTTTGTAGTAAATATTCATTACTATAAAAATAGTCCTATACATATATGGTCTAAATTTAGAATTTAAGACATTACAGGTGAAAATGTATAATTCACCCCCTTAGCATACAACTTTAACCCCTTTGAGGCACGTGAAGGGGTTGACTTATCAAATTCAAATTTTACCAAAATTATCTTGTCAATATACCAAACAAAATGTCGAGCCCATGACATAACATTAATGAAGTTCATAAATAAGGACCACCCTAATATATATATATTCTTATATAAGTTGATTTTATTATGTTGTAAAGCTATCCAATGTTGGTTTTATGTCTAATTGTGTACGATAATTTGATTAGTTATAATTTATATGGAAACATTAACAGACATTTTAAATCAATAGTAATTATAACATTTAATAAATACAACTATCAAAATGTTGTACCATCTTTAAGGTTTTTTTAAACATAATAAATTAATAAGGTAATGGAACATGAATTATTATAACTAAAACATTTGAGAACTTCATTTTGAATAAACCAAGACCAAGTTTTGTTTGTCTAGAAAAATATATTACATGTGTGCATATAAAGTTCTAGAGATTGATTTATAAATAAATATGTTATTATAGTACTATTACAATGAAGAGTTCATACTATGTAAAATAAAATAAAACTACCTACTAATTATATGATAAATGTTTAAAAGATGTACGACAATATGTACCTAAAAGTTTTTTTATATGAAATCATAGAATAAAGAATCTTAATTTCACTCTAGATACATCGTTTGGTCACATATATTGTATTAGTAGAATGAAGATAGAAAATGTATAAAAAGGTGTTTAATGTGAACGTTCAATGCATTAACTACGGTTAACCCCTATGATGAATAATCAGATGTACGTATCTAATCACCTAAATATAATTTACTGTTAATTATTCTAAAAGCTTAGTGAGATTTTCTATGGAAAATTGTGGAGAAATTAATTTAACTCATTTAATCAAGATTAATAACACAATTAAATATTCTATAAGCTTAGAATAGATAACTGCTTTTATACGTTTCAATTATAGAAGTCTGCGATATCATTAAAATGTTTTATACAAACTTAATAAATTATTTTAACTTTTACTGAGTAATAGTGTATTACAATAAAAAAATAAAAAAATAAGTTAATAGGATTGTTTAATGTATACATCTAATAATTGATTATAATATTTAATAAATTAAAGAAAACTTTTAACTACTTAAAAGTATATTTATTATTTGTAATTAGGTTCTTTCGTAAGATTTTTGATTTTAATTAATAATGACAAAATTACTGATTTAAATGATAAATAATTATTGCTATTCGTCAATAGATGAAGAAACGTATGGGTTGAAAAATGTTTCACCATTTATAGATATTTATAAAAAGTGATATTTTCTTGAATAATAAATAGTTACCCTAAGTGAACAAAGAGAGATATAATAAATTATACCCGATAAAACCAAAAATAACAACCTTCTCTGGTCCGGTTCTCTCCTTCAATAAAAGAGCGCATGTAATTTAGTAGGGATCATGAATTGCCATCACAAAATTCATTCAGTTTTACCTTATCACAAAAAGAAACCATTCAAATGCGAATACTGTAGTACAATGTTTTAGAATCATGTAATCTTGCTTGAAAGTCCTCATTGAAATTAAGTTAATAAAATAGAAAATTTATCTTCGTTAAGAAAACAATTTCTATTGCAAATGTAAATATTTTTTAAACTAACTTTATATTGCACTTAAGTTTATAATATTTCAATCGAACTATTATTGTTAAATTTAAGAAAAAAATCGTTATCAAAATGCATACGAATAAAATTTATTTAACTTTGCATTTTATCAAATCAATAACATTTAGAACTAGATATATTTGTAATACAATTCAGTAAATTAATAAAGCAACTAACAATAACAATAGTTTAAATATTATTTAATTATAATATTGTTGCAATTATATTAATTTTATATAAGGTATACCTAGGAAAAATAATGTAATATAATACTACTATACACTATTATATTGTTTAATTATATTATCATTTTACGTATAATTATGTTCTATAGGGGAAACCCTGGGAAAAGATCAACTACGTATACAATCGTTGAATTCAGGCGAACTTCATATGCTAACTCATACATGAAAAATGTTGTATTAGTTATAGTATAATAATGGAAAAGAAAGGTATAATTTTGTGACAAAGATAGAACAGGAAGAAATTTATAGATATAATGCCAAGTTAAAAATAAGGAATAAAAGGTGTCAATGATAAAGATTTTAAGAGAAATTTAATTGCAAGTAATCGAAATTTTATGTTAAAGGGAGGGCACAAGGAATCAACTTTCATTCATGGTAGAAGGGATGATCTATCGCAACTCATAATAATTCTTAGACAAGAACTTTGAATTTTTTTTAAGTTTTTTTAAATTGGAGAATGCTGCAAAATAAAATAATAAACAACCATAATCGAGTATGGAACGTAAAATGGATTTATAAATTTGTAAAAGAGCAGTAGGATGAGAGCCTACATACCAGTAATTGCTCTAAGGAAATTAGTCCAACGAGAGCCAAAAGAGATAAGTGAAACAATGTGCGATGGTCAACGCAGTATGGAGTCAAGGATAATACATAAATAGGTGGTATTATCAACACAAGGAATGATATTATTACTAAAATATACAATGGGGGGGGGGGGTCCACGTATCTGCGCCTAGTAAATATTACTATAAATACATAAATATGTTGAAATATTACCCAAATACAAATAAAAATGTACCTAATGCATTATATTTTAGCATTCGTATAATTTCTATACCCCAACATTTTTTTTCTTATAACGCACCATGAAAATCGATTTTAACAGATTAATTATAAATATATAAATTAGATTTTTTTTTCAAGTTTAACAATATAATATATCAATTTATATATAAATAAATAAATAAATAAATAAAAAAAAAAAAAATAAATAAATAAATATATATATCATAAAGCCATTAATCTGTATCAGCAAAAAAATTCGAATTACATGTTTTGCTCATGTTCCGGTCGCGACTTCAAATCGACGAAAAAAAAAATAATACATTTGTAATACAAAAGATAAATTCACTGTGCCGTTTTCATATATGTATAATAAAAACACATAAATATTGAAATGTACATAATATAGCGTACGCAAATAACCTAAACTATCTATATATGTAACATGATGTATTATTACGTCGACGTTGCAAAAGAGAAGATGACTTTCAACAACTCTGAAGGTAGACAATATATTATTATTATTAAGCCGACGTTGCAAAAGAGGAGAAGACGATTTTCAGCGGCTCCAAAGACGGACAATATATTATTATTATTAATACGCCGTACACTCGGGCTATCAGTTAATATTTTTATTAGTACTAGAACCTCCTAGCTTGTGACACCTCTTTTTTTTCACACGGGAACACCGTGTGCGAATACTTCAAGTGGTCTGTTGTACGATAATTAAGGGATGTTGGTTGAAGAATTTAGAATTTGGTTTATTTAAAACGATTCGTTTCGGAAACATGCAATTAATTAATTATTTTATTTTATTTTATTAAACCGAAGCATTGTAAGGTTTGCGCGTGAAAAAACCTGGGGGTTTTTTTTCTTTTTTTCTTAAATTTAAATTTGAACGAATTTATTGCACGACCAGGAAAAGATAAAAACGTTTATCAACTAGGTAACGGGGCACCTGGTGATTTGGTGAGCGGGGAAGTGCGCGAACGAAAAAGGCTGGGGAAAGTTCATCCGGACAGGATTGCGGTTCCGTACTGTTACCGGCCGGGCGTTTTTCTCCACGCACATCGGTTCGGTTTGTCGTTGGAAAAGCGTTTTTCGGTGCGACAGTATCACGGGACAACACAAAGCGAGTGGAGCGGGGGGAGGACACCATTTCGACGGACGGGCGGAACAGTCTTGCATTACGAGACCACGGACGCGATGAGGTTTCCCGTGCCTCCCGCGCGGGTACCGTCGTCGAACTCGAACGGCGGCGTTTACCGAAAATACGAATCCGAGAATCGGTCCGATAGCGGCATGGGGGTCTAGCGCGCGTACAGCGAAAACGCGCACTCGAGTACGTACCCCGCGGGGCTAATTCGGTCGGACGAAACGCGCGCGGAGAGCGCTCGTGGGGCGCACGGGTGGCAGCGCGACGAGACCCGCCGGAAAGCTCCTCCCCCGCGGCGGCGGTCGTAGCGTTTCCCGCGGTTTTCCGTTCCGCCGCGGTGTCCGCTCCCGTCGCCCGAGCGGTTCGCACGTGAGACGCGCGCACTGCCACCGCCGCCGCCGACGCTGTTCAAATCTTCGCCGAAGACGTGGAAAACCGCACGACGACGACGACGAACGGACATTACGTGACGTGTAACGCGGGAGAGAGAGGAAGAAAATAAATAATCGTAACGATAAAAACGCGTCAGATTCGCGTCGTGCCGCGACGACAACTGGTGATTTTTTTTTTTTTTTATGTTCTTTCCGCCGTTTCTTCTTGTGCGCCGTGCGGCTCTACCTGTATTACTATTATTCTTATACTTTCACCTCGCGTAAGCCTAGACTACTGCGTTCGCGCGCTGACCACCACCATCACCATCACCGTCGTATATACATCGCGCTTTTATCGTTATTATTATCACCGTCACTGGTATCGCCGTCGCGGCGGCCGCCATCGTCTATCGTCGCGGTTGGCGCGTGTCACTCGGTCGCGACCACCGCGCACCAGTCAAACGCCACTGGTCGCCGGTTGCGTGCGCGTATTTCCGGCTACCGGACACGGTGACGACGCGCACACACGCACACAACGGGCAGCAGTGCCGCCGCCGCCGCCGCCGCCGCGCTTTATAATAATATAATTCGCGCGCGCACTCGCCGCCGCATTCGGTATCGCGTATCGCCCGCACCACGACGTCCGCGAAAAGACGTGCTCGTCGTTTTTCAAACGTTTTGTCCCGTCGTTTTGCCTCCGCTCGCCGACCGCACCGAATCCGGCTGTCGACCCGTTACCAGTGCACCCGCCGACACGCACCGACCGGGCCAACTGCGAGTACGAAAAACCCGTCGGATGCGGTGACCGCGACCGCGCGCGAACGATATGACGACGGAGGCTCACGCCGACGCCGCCGTCACCGCATCCGCTGTCACCTGCCGGCAGGCGTCCACGTTCGCACGCACCAGGTAATTAACGGGACACGGTGTTCGGCGATCGGGTGCAGCGGGGGAAGGGGATGGGGGGGTTTGGGAAACACCGGATAACCCCCTTCCCCCGCCCCTGGCAATTGTCGTCCCGCGGTATCGCGACGACGCGCCGCCGTTCAGTTGTCGTCACGTGCGCGCACACCGGCGTTACCCCGCTGCCGAGAGGCGATAGGTGTTTACTACGTTTATCATTATTGTTTGTGCACGTCTTTTACGGTTGCCGCGTTTTGCTTGTACGCGGACCACGCGTGGTCGTCAAAACGCGAAACGAACAACAGAACGTTCAGTGCTTTATACACGGCACTCTATGGACGGTGCGTCGGGAAACGCGAAGGAAACAAACTTTTACACGCGAACCCTTCCCGGTAACCGTGACCGAGTCGTTAACCGATAAAAAAAAAAAAAAAAATTGTAAAAAAAAATTATACGCAAAACACATTTTGACGAGAACCATAGCAGATAAAACGATAAATAGGTGATGTTATTGTTTTTCTTTATTGCGCCGCTTGCTCGGACCGGTTATTGAGTTTCGTTTACAGCCTTTTTACAGACAGACCCGTTTATGCGTCGTTCGTATGGTGTTTAAAAAATATTTTTAACCCTTGCTGTTTTCTTCGTTGTTCGATGTTTGTCGATGAATCCGTACCTATGTTGTTTTAATATTCACGCAAATCAATCATTTTCAATAATAAGCTAGACCACTAAATAACAGTTTTTTGATATAAATTTATTTTCGAATTTCATTCATATTAAAAACATGTAGTTAGGTTAATGAACCAAAAAAGTAAATCGAATTCACGTTGGTGTATTATTGCGAAAACCACACGAATTGGTCAGAAGATTATATAGCATCATAAAATATGTAATAAATGTTTTGAAAGTCGTAGAATAAAATTCGTCATTAAAATATACTGAGCTTATTGCACTTATTCGATTGATTATTAGACGATCTGGAATCGTATATTTCAAAACTATACTTATAATTCGTATATATTTAATATTAAACTAAATCAAAACTCAATGTATTTGAAATTGTACATACCGAAATACTCGTATATTTAAAATTATATATGAACTTTAGCACTTAGAAATAACATTATTAATTTACATTTAGAACGATTTAATAGTTCAAATGCCTATGGGTTTTTTAATCGTAAAATCTATTAAATAATATAGTATAAATAATCATTATTCATAAGTACCTAATCCAAATAACGCAGCCTTGACCTAATATAAATATAGACATCAGTGCTAAATTTATATATAAAATTTGACTGATATCTTATGTTTATTTTACCTAATTTTTGAAATTTTATAATACTATGGTTATATTTAAAATAAGGTAAATAAGTAATATTGTTTATTAATTTTTATAGAAATTAATTATTATACTTTTAGTGTAACGATTATAAATAAAATAAAATGTTGTATACATTAAATCATACATGACCTATTACTAAAAATATTTTTTAAATATTAATGACTTTCAATTAATTAAAAATCAACATTTTTACTTAATGAAAATTATTCTATTAAGATTATTAGGTGGTTAAAATAATAATATTTTTTATATTGTTAATTATATAAGAACTATATTAAGTAACGGTAAATAAATAATTGTATTGTAATTATATTCAGAATAGAACGTCATATAACTGATAATCTATTAATATTTACGATAAAATGTACTATAACATATTATTATTTTATAATTAGTATTAATAATATTAATACTATCATTATTATAAAAGCTATTTGTATAACTAATGAGAAATGTGATGTTTCAAGATATATTTGTTTTACTTATTTCTTAAAGCATTCTTTAAATATTTGATCTAAAATAATTTTCAGATGAATTTAAATTATCTTCAAATTTATTTCGAGAATTGAGCTCTTAAATGATCGTATCAAATAATATTACTAAATTATAAATTAATAATATATATAAAATAAACTTTATAATAGTATACATATTAGAATATCATACTGTATATGATTTGTTATTGATAGTTAATTCATCATTTTACGTTTAGATTCCAAGTGTGGTAAGGAAAGTAATGGTTATATCAAAATGCAGTTTTTAATTCTCATTGAGATTTTGGATAGTAAATTTAATTTTTTGGCATTAAAATTTTATGATATTAGTTCGGCAGATAAAATACCTATTGAGCAATTAGCTGTTAGTACCAATATTTTAATTTTTCATTCTATTATTGATTTATATATTTATATATTTTATCTTATATTTTATTCCGTAAATTTAAAAAAAAAAAGAAAATAATGGCCATAGTATATATTTTTTAAACGAAATATGAATTACTCCGAGATAATTGATTAGCATTGTATGTTTTTTTTTCAGAAATATTTAAAGTAAAAAAAAACGTTTATTTAAATTCGATGTATTTTTAATTACTACATTTGTCTATTTTTAAAATTAGAACTTTATATTGGTATTTAAATAATTTCGAGAATTTCATTTTAACTAATATTCAATTATGTTATAATTTAAACAATAAAAACTTTACAGATTCATTTTTATTAGTTATGGTTTGTTTAATTGTTTCCTGTTTTTTAAAGAAAAATGTACATACATTTATTTTTGTGAATTATGTTTTGTCGCTTGTGAATGTAACTATATAACATAAATCCTAGTATATTTATTTTATTAGTACCTACGCCCCAGCATGTATAGTATGTTCAATTTAGAGGCTAGCCGGTTCAAAATTAAAAATTAGGATCTGCCGGACATTCATAAAATTTTATGATTCTGAATGACACTAAATGATTTTTCGAAAAAAATCAAAACAATTTAATAAAACCTTTGAAACTTTAAATATAGTATTACACTTTAAACATTCATTAGTTTTTTTTCTATTTATTTACAAAAATAGATAATTATCTTCGGAACTTGTATTATTGACTCAAAATATTCAATATAAGTTTTAAAAACTTACGTAAATATCACAGGAATGTAGAAATTCAACATTGTTTAAGTTAAGTATATGGACTTTAAAAGTTTTGTCGTCATGAAAGCAGAATAATTTTAAATTTGGTAATTTAAAATTAAAAAATTTAATTTGAATTGTGTTCATAATATTTTAAAATAAATTGATTATATTATGAAAACTTTATAAGCCCACATAAAAATTAGTTCAAATTAAATTATTTAATTTTAAAAATATAACGATTAATTTATTTTGAATACATATTCAATGTTTGAACTAATTTTTCAACTATTTAAAATTTAATATTACATAACTAATATTGTTCAACGTTAATAATTATACATATATATATATATATAGATATAGATAGAGAGAGAGTTAATGTTTAATTTTAATTTCATACTTTTCTTTGTTTATTTTGAGTATTAAAAAAAGAATAAAAGTATTAAAGACTTACAAATTAAATTTGAACATTTTTTCATAAATGTTAATATTTTATTAATCTCCCTTCAGTTGTTCATACCTATAGTTTTGTTTTAAATTTTTATAACTTGATATTATTTTTCGAAAAATTGAAAGAGAATTAAAATAAACAATTCGAAAAAAAACAGTAAATGAAAATAAATTTTATTATTTCATCAGTTTTACTGTCTATAATCAAAATGATGGTTTATTACTTGAAATTGTGGTGACAAGCAATAGTATATACTATAAAGTATATGCTTAAAGTATATCAGATAATTTAAACTGTAAAAATATTTTATATTTGCTTAGTATTACATAACAAAAACTATTACATTTCACGAAACATAAATTTATTATCACGCTATCATGCTTATTTTAACAAGTATTTTTTTTTTACCGAATGTAAGTGGTGTTGTGTTGAAGTGTAAATAGGTAAAAATGGTTGAACCTTTATATAAAAATTAACTTCTATATTATTTTGTTATTCCTTTATCTTGTGCGCGTTTTTTTTTTTTTTTTTTTTTGAATAAAAATTAACAGTTTTTCACGTATCATAGGCAGTTTTTTGCCGTAATGATGTATTAGTTTCGAGAATATAAAACACAATCGATTCTAAATCAACGAATAACATGCATGTATAATATTCGTTTGTTGTACTCGAAACGTTTTTATTGAACAATTTGATGTTAAACGTAACTCGGTATGGACACTAACGTATATGGTATTTCGTCATTGTTTTACAGACGAGACGTTAGGATGATTTCTGCGGAAACCCACTCCAGTTGCGCAACGGACAATACGTATACGTGCGAGTGTTAGTGTGTGAACAGACTATATTATGTGCGCACATTCATCGATGTGAAAGTTCATCGGATTTTTACCGATATTTTTGCACGTACATGGTTTATATTATTTTACAGAGGTTTACATCGTATTGAAATGTACTTATTTCTTATGCGTACATTTATAACCTATAAATCCACGTTATTGTGCGTGCAACGCTATCACGACCAGAACACTGCGAGTGATGTTAAAACGCGTAGGTCTCTCTGCGCCGTGTCGTCGGCCGTATTCGCATTTCAATTTTCCTAACATGTTGGCGGTCGCAACGTTATATCATGCGTCGTCCGTGTGCGTGAATATGTGTCTATTGGGCAACAACACGTTATTCGATTTATTCGTATGTATTGTGAGTGCATAGTACGATGTCGTTTACATTATCGCGAGCCCGCGGAGAGGAGGCGAAACTACGTAATTTCAGGATATCAACGCGCATTTTTTACGCCACGATGCGGGTACCCCCTTGACGCGGTAATTTATCAGGGTTTTTTTTAAAAAAAAAAAAAAAAAGATGACCTTTCCCGCGTATGTGCACACTATATTCAGGTCAACGAATGTGTCGATTTATATTTTATAATATTTATACATAAAGTATACGTATGCATAGGAACTACGTATCGGTACGGTACGAAAATATATATATTTTATTCGCTCAAACGGGTACACATCTTCAATACGGGTTTCGATGTGTTAGTTTTTTTTTTTTTTTTAGGTCAATCGCCAATGCCGTCCACGGATACGATAAGGACGGCGCCGAGGGCCGCCGCTGTTATCGCGTTGTTTTAAGTTTTTTCCCATTTGAACGGACGCAGAGTGATTTCATAACAAGAGCGAGAGAGAGAGAAAGTCTGTGTGTATGAAAAAGAGAGAGAGACGAGAAAAAATATATTTTCCAATACCACGATCAAGCGCGTACATTTACTGTCGGTTATTATTCATCGTTTTACCACTGAATAAGTGGTTGTTCATAGCGAAACTGAATTCGATTCTGACGCGCACCGTGTGACTGATGTTGATTATTTCGCCGTGTCTCGGATCAAAAGCCTATACCTATGTATGACATACCCGTAGTATGGTTACAAATCAGCGAGATATTGTTTCGATATATCACGTACATCATCACGAATGATTTAAAACAAACATCCCCTTCAAGATTCTCGTAGCACGTATCAATTTGTAAAATTAATTTCTTTAGTGGACGCTTTTCACGGGTGGTATAAACATGTGTAGACTCGAAAAAAGAGATCTAAATTATATTTTCAACATCATCTCAACACGTATTATTTTATCGTATCCATTTATAGTTTTATATATTTGATACAATTAATTAAGTATACGTGCAGTTAGGTACAAGGTTTTAAATGCATTCTTCAAAAAGTTCGTTCGTTTTAATTAATGTTTTTGTCAAATGAGATAGTTTTGGCTAATATTTTTTTTCTCGCCTCACATCTTTTATAAAGTGTACGTTGATGCTTTTCATTTGTTCATTGTTATTTTTCAAGAATTTCTTCATGTTTATTTTAGCTTTTATATCATTTATTATACGTGGTTTTTTATTTATATCAATATTAGTGTTTATTTAAAGGGATGACCGGGGGGTATTACCCCCTAAGAAAAAAGTATACCACACAAAAAAAAAAATTATTTATATATTAAATACTTATTCCCCTCCCCGAGGAATAGATGGTCTGAAATAAAACCTGTTCAATATTTTTTATAAAAAATAAAAATTATTTTTTCTAAATTGTACTCTATTATAATATATTTATTAGTTATTTTAGAATATTGATTTGTGGGTTTTATCTAGTAATGTTAAAACTCCTGGTTCCTTTTCATTTTGTTATGTAATGTAAGATTAATGAATGACATTTTAAAATTTTTAATACCTGATTAATTATACTTATTTTAGGTAAATATTCATTTTCAGTAAATTAATTTTGATGCATTCACATTTATAATTTACTTATTATATATATAATTTTTTGGCTGCTTTGACCATTAAAAGTTTTAGAAAATAATTTATATAGAATAATAATTTAAAAATAATCTTTATACATATTATTATTAAGCATATAACAGTGAAGTAAAAACCTTATGAATAATTTAAATTTGTCGAAACAAACTAAAATAATGAATTAGTTGCAGTATATCTGAATTAATCTGAACGAATCAAGATCATTAATTCTTGTTGAGAAGTTTATTTTATTAGACTAAATAATACATTAATTTATCACAAAAACATCAAGTGTAACTTGTTTTTACAAAAATAAATCGTTATTTATAATCCTAATTTTTTGAAATAAAGAAGGAATTGAGAATGTTCTATGTTATGTTCATTATTATGAAATTTGACATGCTTTATAAAATATTAGTGCTTAAGAAAAACTATTTAGGTAATTATCACTGGTTTTGTCATTGAATTTAGAAGTTTATTTTTTTTTGTTTGAAAAAAGATATTTTGATAACATTCTAGTATATCGATTGAATATCTTATAAAAATGTTATCTGCATCAATTTTCCATAAAAAGTTAACCCGTGTACTTAATCGAATCTATTTTATCAAAAATCTTGCTTGCCATTCTGAATATTACCTTTAAAAAGAAATTTCTCATTTATGAATTGATGATTAAGCAATAATATTGCTGCACGTGCAGTATTTTATTATTATTATTTCTGTATCGTATTCTTGGTACACTTAAGGAGTAGATACATATTATATCACAAAGCCAATAAATTAGGGTACGCTGCATAGAAGATATTAAATTCCTAGCTGTATAGAAGTCACAGTGTTCTAGAAAACTACCAAACCGTTGTCGCTCGGTTACGTTTTCTTACCATTATATAGTGTAACGCGCTGTGGTGCTTGGATTCGTGTTAAACCCTTACCCTCCCCTATCCATCACACATGGCAAATATTTTCACTTCCTTTCACGTCACACGGGGATTTCATGGCGTTCTTTAATCCTCCAGGCGGATAGGCCCGTGAACGTCTTTTCTCCACATAATTTATACGTGCGTATAAGACAGTTGCTGAGTATTTGTTGTAGATGCCATTTTGACAGATTTAATTAGACAGTTGTGTGCGGTAAAGGTGAAAAAGTGTATTTATTAACGATGCGAATTTATCGGACATTATAATATTCACAATTTAGATTTATATGAACTATGGATGAAGAATTTTTTCTTTGTTTAGTACATCAAATATTCAAAAGTTGTTTTAGAGATGTGATCAGAAAGCAAAATACTATTGTAGCTTTTAAAATTAACTTGTATATAATACATGTACATTTTTAATTAACTCAAGCAATTTCAGATCCGTTTATTTTTTAAATAATTGGAAAAATAATACATAATTTTCTAAGTTTTCTATTATAATTGAATTTTTTGGTGAGATCAGTATAACTAGTCTTATCATAAAGTATCTTAAAATTTCTTATTAGAAAATAATATGACGTTCACACATTTTCATTCCGAGAAAACTTTTCGCCAGGAATAAAATTGTATAATTTTTGATTTGTTTTATACATATTTTTAGGTTTATTTTTATATAATATATTTTATCAGTTATAGCAGTAATATTGAGTAATATTTTATCTTGTAAGAGTTATAACTTTAGTTTCTCTTCTGATTCAAAACGAATATTCATTCAATTATTAATAATCCTTTGATTACTAAATTTATTATATTTTGTTGATTTTTTTAAAAAATATCACAAGTATATCAACTAACTATTATATTAATTAATATGATCATAGAATCAGCAGTCTTTAAATAATTTATAACTAGTGAACTAAATTATAACTTAGTATTTTATACTTAGATACTAAATATTTAAGAAAGTAATTTACACAAATAACGAAACCATACGATGTCAACAGAAGTAGAATGTAATGCGTTAATTATATCTGTATCTAAATTAAATCTCCAAGTAACATTTATAACTAGTCGATTAACTTAAATAGTATACTCAATATGTATATATGATAAAGCTGGTACGTTGATGATTTATATTGACGAAAATAAACGCTGTTCAATAAATTAAATAAAAACGTCCGCGTTTTCTAATGAAGCCTGAAACTAGTTTCAGTACTCTTTCTGTTATTTTAGTGGGAGAGATATATTGTAATTTCCCTTAAAAGGAATTATTTAAAAGATAAAAGATATATTCTTTAAGAATAAATGCATTCTCGTGCGTTAAAGAAATTACACCAAGCTGATTTGTAAGTTAATAGTTGCGTGGGAATTTATATTTTTATTCTCAATTATAGGTCTATCTATACATATTATTTATAACTGTATAGTACATTATGTTACAAAACGTCTTGGACATATGATTCTAAGATGGCTTATAATTTGTCTTTTTATAAATTCTTATTCTCGTTATGTATAAAATAATATTATTTGTTGTTATACTGTGCATCAGAAATGATTACATGTCTAACGCCATATTCGTGAACTCACTAATTTCATGAAATTAGCAATACTGTTCATGATTTTACGTAATCTATTAATAAGTAAGGCCATTAAATGCGGATCGCATGTATGCAAAAAATTTACTTTATATGTGAAACTAGCGAAAAAATTTGAGGATTCCGTAAAATCGGTCGCAATATTGCCATATTCATGTACTTGGTAGCAAGTTAGTGGCTGGTTTCATGAAATCATTGATTTTACGAAATCTACATAATAATGTAATCAAATATAAAATGCATATATTAAAAATATTTATTTTTATTAAATGTTTAAACTGTATTCATGAAAATGCGCTGAAATATGTCTTACATTAATTACCTACATTATTAGTAAAGCTACTGCGGGACACATCGTGAAATGTATTAATGACGCGGGACGAATTTTTGCCAAATTGCAGATTTGTCGGCGGCTGAATACGTCTGCGGGTCATGTTTTGGCCGATCGTGTTGGCGTTGTTGCAGTTGGCCGTGGACGGACAGACGGACGAATTCGTTCTCGGTTACTTGACCGGCTCGAGGAGACGGCCCGGCGACATCACTTACTCTAAGCCCGGTCGCATGATCAGTGGTGCAATATCGTTGGCCGTCGAGGAGATTAACGCGGGATTGTTTAAGGATAAAGGTACCATTACTGTTTTCTATTGTATTATTTGAAAAACCACGCACCTCCAATTGTGTAAATACCTAAACAATAAAAGCTGACGGATTTTCGCCTCATAGAAATGCATATTATACTTGCTTTTCAACGAGATCAACAATCGATGACACGAGTCATAAAACTACTACGGACGTTCATTGCTGTTTTTGAGATGTTTTGAGAGTATTTTCAATGTTCCAGCAAATACGATGATTATTATTTTTTCTTCAATTCGATTTTTAGTATCCGTAATAATAATACGGTATACTGTTGTTTATATGATATCGAATACTTCCGCTGATATGAATGGCGCTTAAGTATAGGATAGTTAATTTTAAACGTGACATCATGTTGTCAACAGTTTAAGGAAAACATTAGTTAATGCCACAATGTTATTTATTTTTTTTAATAAGGCAGCATATGTCTAGGATGAATCTATGAAAAATTGTTGTTATGACATATTTTACTTGTAATATGTCAACTTTTTCAAATTAAAAAGGTTTCTATAATTTTTCTATTAAAATGAAATTAATGTATTTGAAAAAATTCAATAAATTTGAATTAATAACTAATTCAAAGTAATCATAAACATTTATTCAAAGAGAGATGTCTACAAATAACTTATATATGTAAGTTTTCTTTTAATATTATTAGTATTTGACTTTTATCTGATCGTTATATTTTCTGGGAAAAAAAAAAACATTTATTCAAAAAGAATTTCGTTTAACATTATATATTCCATTTTATCAATATCGGATAATTCATTATAACATAAACTAATAACTGTTCCCCGTGAATCGTGAGTGTTGTAAGTAACCTGACTCGTATGGGCAGAACATTCAAACTAGTTCTGGATTAGTATAAACTATATTTAATGAAGGCAACGTATATGGTATTCCGACAAACCGTTCGTAGATAATATTTTATGTAAATTAATAAAAACAGCTTTTAAATAAAATAATTATAAAAATATTTTTGTCTTACATTTGGAATTTATTCTATATACTATTTGAGTGACCTTGAGGACTTCTGGCGATTTTACATTGATAGATAACCAGAAACATAAGGTAGTTAAACTTGGAATTCTAGAATATATCTAATTTACTATAAGATTTTTACTTGTATTTAACAGACTTTTGGACAAGACGTGACTTTGGGAATATATATTATGGAAATAATAGACATACCGATATTACGTACGGAAATGACCGCCGTCGTGACTAAATATTACGCAATCACCAATTTGGCCTTTTAACTAAGATTAATTATAATGATTTTATTGATAATCTTCAAACGGATGTTCATATAATTAAAAGTCCTTATCTTAATATATTATAGAACATCTCCGTGACATTAGATAGAAACGTGTAGGTTTATTACAATGTCCGTTATATAGAGGCTTCAAGATTTATGTTTTTGTTTTTGTTAATTAATCTAAAAAAACCTAATATTTACTTGAGCTTATATTTTTATAAAGAAGGTATGAATGAATATTAAGTCAATTATGTTATTTTGGTACATTGTACGTTAATAAATTAAATATTAATCTTTACATGTCTCACAACTTTTTCTTGTTTTATCTATCTAAAAACCTCTGTACAACTTTTTCATCTGAATATTACCAAAGTTTTCACTAAACTTATCTCACAATAAGGTTATGTTCTATCTCGTAAAAATGAAGCTAGCAAGTTAAGATTGTGTATATTATTTGCCGCAAATGTATTTACTCATATTTTTTTGTATATAAAAGGTATCTGAGGTCAGTGTTTTTAAGAAGTTAAGAGTTTAAGTTTAAAATGTTGTCTTTCGTTTTTATATAACTGGAATTACCCTCGAAATTAATAATTATAATTATTTTAATTTTCAATTTAATTAATTTTTTTTATATATATATATAATACTATGTGTTTTTAATTTTGTCGTCAATAATTAATAATTATAAAATTTTTATTCACGATAAATTTTAATAAATGTATTTCGTTTAATGTAAAAATATAAGACATTACTAACTTGAAATTTTACATGGGCACTGTAATTCTATAGGTAATTTTTATTTTTTATAAAAAAGGTTTTATGAATAAGTATACAGTGGTGAAAATCGATAGAGAGCGTATAAAAATCGCATGTTCCGAATACTTTTTTACATAAAAATATACAAAACTTGCACCTAATAAACGTGAGTGATATGTATATATATTCATAGAGTCGTATATATTTCATTGGAAAAATTATAGGTTTCTTGTGACATGTTGATTTTTAAGAGGGTCCATGAAAAGAACTCATTCATCTGGATTGTTTCATTTTTTCGTACATTTTTATCGTTATTTTTCCCTTTTATTGTTTATGTATAACAGGTCACTCGTTGAGTTTTTTGGTATCCGAAACATATGGAGAAGAATCGACTAGTATCCTCGAGACAGCAGAACTGTGGAAGAAAAATATATCGGCTTTCATCGGACCACAGGAAACATGTTTCCACGAAGCTAGGATGGCCGCTGCTTTCAACCTTCCGATGATATCCTATGTTAGTCAGTATAAATATACATTTATGATTAGTTTAGATATAGCGTAGCATAGTAGTTTATTCATCTGATAATTGCAACGACAAATTATTTATTTTATTGTTTCGTTACTACATTAATAGGTATATAATTATATTTATTCATCGAAGTTGAATGGTTTGGGTTTTATGCAATGATTTTTGAGTTACTTTGGATCTTATATTATTTTGATGATAACCATATATATAATATGATCGATGGTGTCTATCTTATAATACTGGTCTTTTATAAAAAAAATAAAAATAAAAAATATTTTACTGGTTATTTGATTGAAACTTATTTTCGTTTAAAACGCATGAATGAATTCTGGATAATATTATTACCCGGGAGTATTTTCTAGATAGCCTATTATATTAACAATTTAGAAAATCCAAACTACCGCTATTATTCTTTATGTTCCGTTTTTTTTTTTTTTTTTTTTTTTTATAAATCGACCGTTTCTCAGTTTCTTGCTTTTATAATATTGAAAAATATTTTCAGTATGAAACTTATAACTTTTAAAAAGTGTATAATGTATGTGTACAATATTATACATGAAATACAATATAATCATTTAATAAAGTTTGTTGAAATTTGCGCTTTTTTGAAAGCTATTATTATTATTATTTTTTTTTTTGTAAGTTTTTCATCTTAATTACATTTTTAGAAACTAAAAATATTTCATTTTATAATTAATATACGAATATAACTGTTTACTGATTATAATATATCATGTTTTTAGGTATAATGGTATAATTTTAAAATTGTTGCTAATATTTTTAGATTAAATGGAAGAAAATTTAAAAAATTTTATTCAATAATTCAACATGTTATGTTTTATATTTACATGTTTCATACAATTTGATCTTTATACTATATAATACAATTATAGTAAAATACATTTGATTATTAAGAAGTAGTAAGAAATTAGTTTTGATTTAATATTCCATTTTATATAGTTTATTACAATAAATATTTAATTATTCATAATCAGTGTCCATAGAAAATGAACACTTAGTTTTATTTTGCTCTTCAGTAAAAGCAAAATTGGTACTATTTTTAATTTTAGATCAGGTGAATCATAATTTTCTTTTAATATTATTACTACATACTTTTTATTTAACTAATATGTATGAGTATTGAGTGAATATGATAATATTATTAGGTAAAAATCGAGAATAACAATTAAAAATAAATTAACTCATCTAAATGTACGAAAGAAGATATTTTCTCTGTTTGGAACATACCAGTATTGATTTAGCTAAATAAAAAATTAAATTTCTGGTACATATTTATAAATGCTTTTTGTCTTTATGAATATTGTCTGGACCTATTAAGTTCTAAGCAATTATTGCATCGGTATCTGCAATTGATACAAATCTACACATGTATTTGTATCAAAGAAATATTGCCTATATAGTTACATTTTATAGCCGATTTTGGTGAATTCATTTGAAGAGGGATTCCCCCAATATTGCAGTAGGATTAAATTCACACAAATTCACTTATCCACACCTGCTAGTGAGTTGGAAATTAATCTTTTACCGTCTGTTTTTGAAGGGAAATTAATTTGTTTTTACTTGTATTCCATATGATTTATAAGTAAGCACTAACTCAAACAATGTTTTGTTATATATATCTCATAATTGATTTATTGAAAAAAATAAAAACATAAAAACAATTGATAATTAAATATACATAATTATTAAGTTAACGTAATATATATTAAATCAAAAATGTAGAGTAAATCCAAATAACAAATGTTTTATGAAATGTTTAATGCATTTTATTTATTTGCTGATTCGCTGGCCACTATTGGGATATTATTATTAAAGATTGTCGACTACAAATTGAAATGTATGGAAAGATTTTAATAGAGTGAGATCAGCTTATAAGTGTGTAATAAAATATACATTTTAGTTACTATTTTAAGTTTTTGTAACCTTAAGCGTGTTGCAGTAAAATTTATTTGAAATATTTATGATCTTGAAAATATTATCAAAAGTTACGGGGAATCCTTGGAATACAATAATAGAAATCTCGCCAACTATACACCCATGTGAATAATATCTAATTATCATTCATTCTTCTAATTAAAACGGTTTATGAAACTTAAAACGTTATTACCTCTACCCGATTTCGAAACTTTAGTTTTAAACATGCGTTCGGCTGTTCATAACGCCTTATATTTCCAAAAATAAGCTTCTAATTATCTACTTGCAGCTCATGTAATGTAAAAGACATCTTTGTATGTACATTGGACTATTGTATCCGTAATTTAAACGCAAAGGCAAATATAATTTTTTATGAATTAATACTTCGCTCCATAGATTAAATAACTTGTATGTCCCAAGTGACTATCAAGTAATGTTAAACGTTTAAATATAAATATTATGTGTGATGAATTGCATTGTATTCGTTGGTTTTAGTTTCGTTTCAAAATAATCTCTACTCCGTATGACGATGTAGTAAATGACTGACGTAGGTATACTTTTACTAGAATAGAAAAATACATTTTTCATATATACATCTAAGTGTTGTTTACTAAAATTTGATAACTAATTGATATACTAAAATCTGATATGACGTTGCTCATTTACTATATATATTTGCTCGATAAGTTCTAAATTGTATAATAACCTAATGGAATGTTTCACGGTTTTTTGGCTTAAATGTTTTCTCTAGTTTGTGAAGCGAAAAAATCATAAACTTTTATAAAAATATACGAGTACAAGTTTTATACACTTCGATGGTTATAAATGTACTTTATAATTATTTTATACTTCATCCATCAGCTTTTTTTTATGAATAAAACGTAAATTCAAAATCTGAAAACACACGCAGTTGCATTTAATCTTGTGAATGAACATATTTCGGATTGGATTGTAATTACTTTAAACATTTTTTCTATTAAAAAAAAATTTTAATTTTTCCATTTATATTTACTGAAATAGATTTTATAAAGAAAAACTTAGACATAATTTTGTAGATAATTTAGATATTTAATTTACTTTAAAACTAAAATCAACTGCATTGAATTATTTGTTACGACTACAAAAAAAGATCCACTGAGATTTTAACTTGACTTTTTCCTATTTTATTTTGCTATACACTCTCATGTTCATGCTTAGTCCATTAACTTCTATAGACTTCTATATATTTCTAAGTGTTATACTATGTACCACTTGTGTATTTTTTTTTTTTTTAATCGTCAATTTTCTATATAACATCACGTTTTCAACCTTCTATTTTCTGTTTTCATGTTCACAACTTAAAAACATAAAACCACATATTTCCTCATTTTCACAGTGTGTGTTTTGTTATTTCAAAGGAAGTAAATAATTACTCTAAACACATATAATCGGTGTGTACATTGTATACATTTGATAAATCTTTTAGGGTTAAAAGCTCACATTACTCTGAAACATTTACCGAGCAACTGTATGTTATTAATGTGAAAATAAGTTAATGATACATATCATTAGGACACAGATATTATCTTAAAAAATGTATTCGATTTGATCGATTTTAAAGATTTCGTTTTGAAACCAGTTGTATTACGCGCGTTTATTTACGAAATCGATGTTTTCCGGACTAATGACTTTAATTATATCCATTTTGAACCGAAGTTTGTCACTACCGGTTCATACTGTACAGTCAAAACTTGTCTTGTTAAAACCGAAATGGCTGGATTCACAGCGGAGATAATATTGGTGTAAACGACGTCATTATAATTGTTATAATAAAAAAAAAAATAAAATAAAAAAGAACCATTCCGCTTGTCCTGGTGACCGAATCACAAGTGATGATGATGATGATGATGATGACGATAATAATAATCATTGTAACGAAAAAACAAAAAAAAAAAAAAAACGACGAAAACAGAACAGTAATTTACGACTTTCGCGGTGTTCGGCGTGCGCGCGTCTAATTGGAACGGTTGGCACTTTGATCATCAAAGTTAACTAGCGTAATATTTTCTTCGGGTAAAGGAAAGTCGTTTTCGCTAAAACGAACGTAAAACATATACCGCGGAGTAAGTACCAACACATACGCGCGCGCGACCGAATGGTAATAAATATACCAAAGAATTATTGCAAACAAAGTGCATCGGCTGTGGCCGTGGCGTATGGGCAAAGTTTATTTTTAACACGACACGCACTCTCGAAGAAGTTGCTAGAGGATAAATTTTTTTAATTTTTTTTTTTTTTTTGGCGTCTGTTAATGGTCCGAACACGCTGTTCCTCCTTTTCGTCCGTCGTCCCACACTAGATATGTTGTGCGCGCGCGCAATACTTCAACCGGAGCAAACGACGTCACAATAATTACGCACGTGTCGAACGTTATAACACGTTGGACTCGAATACATGATTATCGCGTGCGGTGTTTTTATTTTCGTTGTGAAATTTAATTCAGTATCTAGCGCACGGGTGGTGTACATAAATCTGATTATCGCAGTCATATAGAGAACGAAATGGAAATAGCATCTGAAAACGGAATCAAAGTTATTTTTTACGCGTTACCATTACAAATTTTCGTAGTAGGTACATTCATAACGCTTTGCGCATGAACGTACTACGAGGTAGTACGAACAATTCCAACTCATCAGGTATTTTGTCGGTTTTGAAAAAAAGTTCTTGAAGAGTAAAATGCGTTATTATTACCGTTGTCGGTTTTATAATGCGGTGTTTAGAGATAAATCTGAGTTTCTATCGTGTTCGGTGAGGTGTGCGAAAAACCAATTTCAGATAATAGATCATGGCAGACAATGCAGCTATTTGAAATATCGTACGTGAACAGAACGTCGGCTAATTTGTGTGTTGTAGACAGTGCGAGTTAAGGCTGTAGGAGCATTCAACAAACTTGCGACACAAAGATTGCATGCCCGTGTAGGTAACCGATACGTTATAGGCGCGCAACATATTTGCTTTATACTTAGGGCTCGGAACGGGAAATAAGATATATTGTTTTATTGTTCTCCGTA